ACTTACATACATATATATATATACACACATATACACACATCACATCACATCACGTCACGTCACGTCACGTCACGTCACACATCACATCACATCACATACATCGCATACATCACATTGCATTACATTGCATTGCATTACATTATATGACACACACATACATACATGCATGCATGCATGCATGCATGCATACATACATACATACATGCGTACACACACGCACACACACACACACGCACACGCACACACATTAACACACATGCACACATACACATATACGCGCATACATATGTCCATACATAAATACAGAAACCTAACTAACTAACTATCTATCTATCTATCTATATGTATGCATATATATATATATATAAATCATACATATTAACGATTACTATGCGACCCATGTGAAAAAGACGCCGTTTGGGGCGCTGGCCAAGCCGTGTCCCTGCGCCTGGAAGGCTGCAGCCAACTCCAAGAGCCCTCCTCGCAAAGTGCAGTCGGAGGAGAAGCTCTTAATGTGCGATCCATCCTTTTTGGGAGGAGTGGTGGGTTGTTGAAGCTTAGGGCTCTGATGTAGGGGAGATTGAAATCTAGGGTCTTAAGACTATTCAGACAGAGTTGTGTTGCATAAACAAAGCAGCCAGCGAAAGACACGCAGCGCCTATGTTCGCCCATTAACATTATGGGCTTGAACCCACATGAGCGAACGACCAAGACTCTGGAAAGCATGAAATATAACCCGGGACTGGGAACCACAGGTGCGACGTCAATTTTTAGGTCCTACATGCTCATAAACATCCACTAAAAGTGTAAAATGGGGGTTCCCGGCTGATGGCATTCCTTGTCAAGGAGGTGCACTGTACTACAGCAGGGGAGGGTTGGGTGAGGGCCTTCCTGGGCGTGTCCTTTGCTGCCAACTTCCTGTGACGGAGGTGTACATATATACATACTTACATTCACATGCATACAAATATATATATATATACATATAGACACATACACGTGCATATACCATATTGACGTTCGTATGTTCAGATAGGTGCAGATAGTGTCAGACAAGTAGATAGAGGTATGATATGTAGATACATGCGCGGGGCATAGGTCCATCTTACGATATGTCTACAAGAAGCCGTGACAAAAGTGCGAACCCAACGCAAGCTTTATCTCTGGCGAGCCCATCCATCTACCCATCTATCCGTCCATCTAGCTATCTAGCTAGCTATCTGTCGATGGGGCGATCGACAGATCTCACTTATCTACCTATTTGTCTACCCTTCCATCTGTTTATCTCTTCTGTCTAGATCTACTCTCTGAATTCCATCAAACATGTCTAGTATTGTCTAGTCTAGTGTGCAATCACTCACATATTCCATCAGTCAACCAGTCAGTCAGTCAGTCAGTCAGCCAAGTTCCTTCACAAGAACTCGCTCCACCCCAACTCCTGCGCGCGTCGTCTGCGATTGGAGCCACTGGAGACGTTGAGCATCAAGGCTGTCTGGTAAAAGGCCCAAGGCTCCCAGTGCCTCCCATGGAGTCTGACACCGTTCTACTGATTCTACTGTGGAACTTCATATCTATATGCAAACTAGTGTATACGTATGTACATATATGTATATATATATATATATGTATGTATGTATGTATGTATGTATGTATGTGTGTATGTGTGTATGTATGTATGTATGTATGTATGTATAGGGTTCGGGATGTGCAGGCAACGGGATGCACCTCGTCAACAGCAAGCCGCTCGCTGCAGGCGAAAGGGTTGACCCCTTGAAAACGCCTTGGACTCCCAATGCATACGGGCGTCTGAAGAGCACATACCTATAAGTGTACATATGTATATATATATATATACACATGTAGGCACCTCTATAAAGAAATAACCAGACCGACAACTAGGAGACACACACACACACATACATACAACGTAGTATCTCAAGCGCTTCTGGTGCGCATGGAAGGATGTGTTCCACGCCGTCGCATCTCCCAAAGACCGCCCGCAGCATCCTTGGCAGATCAATGAACACCGCAGCTGTCCAACTTTCAAGACAAGTCACGGATTCCCGACGAACTACAGCCGTCACAATAGAGCCTGGACCCCAGTGCTGTTGCTGCTCTTCCGTCCGCTGCTGACGAATGGCGAAGACGACGATCATCATGGACATGCCTACGAAATGATAATCATAATGCAGCAGTGATGGTGCACCCTGATCAGATTCCCAGCGCAAGCGAGCGACCGACAAGCTGTAGCTTGTGATGGCGGTTGGCACCCGCAGCTGCACGAGCGCGCGTAGGGCGGGATGCCAGCTCGCCTTGGCGCGAGCATGACATGCGAACTCCTCGGCCAAGCTCTTTGGTGGCTGCAGCCAAGGAACATATTCCTGGATGCCTGCTGAGCAAGAACACGTCTACAAACTGCGGTGACTCTTCTGAAACGGGCGAATCCTGCCTGCGTGGAATGCGACCGCAAGGTCTGGCGGCCCCGCAGAAGTCAGGAAGTCCTGGTACATCGTCCTGGAAATGAGGGGCAAGTAGGCGAGTTAAGGGCATGAAGGTTTGAGGGATTCAGCGTCAAAGGCTTTGTGCCACGAAGAGTTCACTCTCAAACTTTGCAATCAAGCAGGACATATCGACGGTACCCGCAGTGTCCTATGAAAAGTGAGGCGCATGTTGCCAATCTCAAGCTCGGAGCCTCAGACAAGACTCTAGACTCTAGACGCCACTCCCATGTCGAACTCAAACACCTAAATGTACATCCAGCAACGCCTTTATACATATATGTGTATACATAGGCCAACACACACACACACACTCACAAATACATGAATGCATAAACAAATCCAGAAACATGTATACACATACATATATATATATATAGACATGCACACATCTATCTATCTATCTATCTGTATATGCACATCACAGCTATATATATATATACATGTATGTATGTACGTACGTATGTATGTATAAGTATATATGTATGTGCATTTGTACGTATATATACATCTGTAAAGCTATATGCACACGTACCTGTATTTCGTTCTCTTGGGCTCGCTTGGGGTTGTCGCTGCGACGAGGCGCCAAGAGGAAGCTCCCGGCCCAGCTCTGGACCGATCAAGCGCAGCGTCGCACCGCTCTCGGGCAGTGCACGGCCCAGCTCCTGGAAGATCAATATCAATCATCTTATATTCTAAATATGTGTGTGTGTGTATATATATATATACGTATTTACACACACTCAGAGATATATATATATATACATATATCTATATATATATATAGATATAGATATACGTCTATATATAGACACAAAGCAGATAGTCTGTTAAAGGTGTGTAAATATACATATAAGTATAAATAAATAAATAAACATCTATATATATAATATAAGATCTATCTATCAGCGAATCTGTTTCTGTCAATGTGATGCCCTATGTAAGCTGAGCGTGACAGAAGAAGGAAAGACGACAACCACAAAACGAAGCAATTGGCAGCGTCAGCACAAGCAGTCGGCAGACATGACGATCCTCCCATCAACTCGAAAGCGCGGGGGTAATCATTGGAGAACCTGATAGCTACTGATATCTTGTTCACCGTAATTATTGCGTATTGTCCGCAAATCTTGCTGTGCAGTAGAACTTGCTGCCTCGTACACAAGCTCCATGTCCGTCAGCTCCAGGATCCTTGGCCAATTGTATGCTTTTTGTCAGAAGCTCGGACTTCACAATAACGAATCGTGATGATAGAACGAATAAACTAAAGAGGGCTAAATATAGGCAGTATGAACCATCACTGACGACATGCTTGTGGCTGTGACTGTTTCGTATATCTCAACAAGGGAAACAAGTTTTAATTTGCTTCGTGTAAACGGAAAGATGAGTCGAGGGCAATTGAATTGAAACAATGCCCCTGGAGATTGTTGTTGAGACTGCTGCTGTCGACGAGAACCTTGGAAACATGCTCGCGTGCGGTAGAGTTCGATCCCCCGCCCCCGACTCCAATGAAGCTACCCCAACATCATAGTTATACGTTGCGCAAGACGAAACAACTACATGTGCGTGTGTGTGTGTGTGTACGTGCACGTATGTTTGCATGCATGTCCGCTGCATGGCATGCCTTCCTGCATGGAGGTACGTGTTTGTATGTATATAGTACGTGTGTGTATATATAGATATATATGCATACATACATATATTTATATGTAGATAGATAGATATATATATATATATTGCAAACTTCAAAGTTCAGAAGCCAAAGATCCGACTCCCCGGAAGGTCGATGCACAACTCCTCATCGCCCAGCTCCATGTTGAAGCTCCGGATGGCATGCAAGATCGTCAGAGGCCTGAAGAAGGGTCATCTATGTGCATCGGAAGGGCAGCGTCCCGTATGTAGGCATGTAGCACGTCAATGTTATGTGATGCTCTGTTGTATCATGATCGACTCAAGCCTTTTTTGAGTATATGCCAACTTCAACTACCTGGCACACACACACAGAAATGAACGGCTTCGACTGGGGTCCCTGGGTGGTCGCCCAGTGCTGCTCAGTGGCACCGAGAGAGCGCCAGTGCACGCAGCTCGGTTTTGGGGTGCCATTCCACGAGTGGCGAAGTAGTCCTCTGTGCATTCTGTACAACCCCAACAAGTTGCTCTTATCGGAGAACGCTTGCCCGGCTCCTCCCAGCATGTCCCGATGCCATCGAGGTCAAAGTCTGTGTCCTAAGGGGTCTCACAGGTCTTGTGGCGGCCTTGATCCCTCTCATCCTGTTAGCATCGACATCACGTCACATCTGCAGCAAAGGGTCTGGAATGCGCATGAGCTCCATGATCCTCTCTTCCGCACCATGGACCTGTTCAGAGGGTGGGCTGATGGTTTCGTGCATCCGACCTCAAGTTCCCTGTGAAGACGATGCAAACACGCAAACTTCACGGCACTCTTCCGAAACAGTCGAACAGGGTGCAGAGCTTCTTCTCTGTGCTATAAGGATCCGTCAGGGGTAGCAGAATCGCCTCACTTCTACATCTCGCAGGATCCGCTTAAGGAGCCTCGTGAAACTCTGCAGCAGCCTTACAAGATCCTTTCGACGGGAAACTCTGAGAAGAGGCTTCGGGGCTTCGGCTTTGTCGGGTCTGCTAGATTCAAGAACCTGCTTCATTCACGGTGTATGTTGGGTGGTTGTTTTCTGAAGCCTAAACTCTAAATTACAAATGCAGGAACGATCCCATCGACGCAAACACAGGATACCGGCATTGGTTCAACAAGCCACGAACGGGCTAAGCCCCACTGTGACTCCTAAAGACAAAGCCACCTCGGCGCTTCGCTGCACGCCCCGGGCGCCCCGGGGGCTCCCGCGGAAGCGGCGGAGCCCCGCGAGGGCCGACACCGCGGGAGCCCAGGGATGCGGAAGCCCGGGGGAGGGGCGCCTCGTAGGGATTTGAGATGATTTGAGGTTTTGGGGGGCTTCATGGGTGTTGGGGAATCGATTCTTGAAGGCTGTAGGGGACAGAGTATGGGGATTTAAGGTTGACGGTTGCAGGATTCGGGGTTACTGCTCATCCGGTTGTATGGATATGCTGAACCTGAAGCCAAGTGAAGCCCAAACGTCCGATTCCAAGGCAGAAGTGTCGAGTAGGCATATCAAGACCTCTAGCACAGGTTTGGCTGCCTGTGCACATTGGCTCGTTGTCAGAGAACCCCAGTTCCCAAGAAACTGTGAAGAAAAAACAGCTCTTCGCAAGAAGACTAACAAGAGCTGTATCGGGCGAGTGAGGTTGGACCTTTGCGGAAATAGAACATGTCTGCACAGTCCCGGTCCACCCACGAACCTGGGAATGCGCTTCGCTCTTTCAGATCTCCAGCTGCTCATTTCAGGTGCAACCTGACATGAAGAGGAAATTTGAAGCCATGGTTACGACTTGGGCTTCATGTGTTCAAAGATGCTGCGGTCACAGCTCTTGACCCTGCTTGCGGCGAGAGACAAACATGAATCTACAAATTAATAAATGGTCTGCTGCAGTAGCTGCTAGCTCGTTGGTGTGCGCGTGTGTGTGTGTGTGTTTATATAAACACATGTAAGCATAAACCTAATACCAATATGACACGCAAACATCACTACCCTTTAGCTGAGGCTCGCTGGAGGCCACGCGCTGTGGCCAAGCTGCGGGAACTCGCTCCATGCGCAGCATCGTCGACATAAGCATCTTCTGACAATGAAAAACAAACTTGCTCCGAATTCTCAAGGTTTGCGGCAGTCCCCCAACCCTAAACCTTAAACCGCCCCCGGTATGACGGGCCCATGTACCGCAAACGTAGCATTCGTAACGTCGAGTCTGGATAGCTCGTGACTTGGCTGGAGATGGTGCGAGCATCTTGATCATCTTCTTGGTCGTTGCTGGGATGTTGGTCAACACACTTAATGTGCTTGCTCGTGCTGCGGTTGATTCCTAGCTGCTAGCAGTCTGAAAGAAGGTAGAGCCGCGGATATCCGACAAGCGCATCACACTGCACGTTAGCCTCAGGGACCTTGCTTATACACCTAAACAAGAGAAGCAGGAACATAAAGACGTATGCAGAATATGAAGAAACCGACAAAAGGACCACTAGCCTTAAGAAGTTACAATGCCTATAAGTTCTGTAAGCTTCGTGAAAACGCTCCTGAAGAAACCCGGAATTGGTCCCTAGCTTGCTGAGGTCTCCCACTGCGGCGGGTCCACCTGTGTCGCCCACTGCCAGACACTGCACCGAGGGTCGCCGAAACCTTAGGAGGAGACTGCGGCTTGCTTTATAGGGTTTCACACGGCTCAAGCTTTCGGGAGTGCGTCAGCATCTGACCTAAACATAATAGTCATGAGTCATACATCTTCGGGGATGGGAGTTCGCTGCTCTCATCATTAAGTTTCTTGGTCTTGCTGCCTTAATAAGACTGGCTCTGGACGCTGACATCCGCTGCGTACATAGACCTGTCGAGGTTTTGGAGCATTAGTACACAATAGTTCAACATGGTATAGCAAACTACAAAATGCGATACGCTGCAATACACTGCAATACAACAAACCATCATATTATAGTGTAGTATGACATATCGTAGCAACTGAAACAAATATAACACTCAACAGAGCCTGGACTGCACATCACATACTTCATACTATATATTATACTCTACCTACAAGCTGTGTACTATGTAATAATGCACTGTATACTGTAACGGTTGCTACACGTACCATGTGCGACATACCACATACATCTAGCTGCTTTATACTCTATACCACATTTATATAGACTTTGCACTATACACTGTACTCTGTACAAAACATACTACACACCCAGATTACATACTATATGCTATGCACTATATAAGATTAGGAACTCTGATATACTGTTGTATAATATGAAACTAACATTATTCTGTAAGATCTCTGAGACCTCGACAGGCGTTTTTGCAGGTCTTCTCGTCGGTGACTTTTTCTAGGCCCGTGTGGAACAGGCCAAGACCTGAGAGTTGGGAATTTTACGGCTTTCGCCTTACTTTGGGGTTTTCGGTAGGGCTGGAGAGTCTAGGGCTTTAGCGTTTCGGAGCTTTGGGTTTTTGGAGACACGACCTTTGGCCGTTGGAAGCTTTCCGGAAAGCAGATGTAGGAGTCAGGGCCCGGGCAAAGCCCCGGCCAACCTTTGGCACGGTCATGCAGGACCGTGGTCCTCGGTGCCAGGGACAGACATCAGATTGTTGGGTTTGTAGCAAGGCGTTGGAGTTCAGAATGTACGGATCGACACCCCGCCTCACGAAATTCGCGGCTCTTTCACGCACGGCTTGGACAAAGCAGTTCAGTCGAAGTGCTGTCTATGACGCCAGGGATTCCTGGACTGACTGAATCGAATCTGCCGTGGATCTCAGCGTCTCACCCTCTACCCTAAATTCCGAAAATTCCTAAGCGATCACACATGATCACAACTTTGAAGAAACCTCCGGTGTAAGGCAAGAGCTCCCAGCAATGAGCTGGCCTGCACAGCGTGCACTCAGCGGTGAAGCAAGCACGTCTTCAAGGGGCTTGGGATGTGGGGGTTTGGGGTTTGGGGCTTGCTGCAAGGGCTAACGGTGTAGGGCTTAGGGATGCTCTTAACTTTGAGAGAAACGAGTGCTTGGCCCCAGGCCTGTTCCGTTATTTTGCTCTTACACATCATGGCACCGCATGCGCAGGAAAGCCAACTGACAGGTCGTCATCAACTCATCAGCCAAAGATGAAGCAACGCCAAGCAATCATGAAGCGCCCAACTCATGATTTTGTCCACCATTCTCCATTCCCTAAGCTCTGAACCAGTGGGCACAGCCTGCCTCCCCTGTGCATCCGTTTGCCAATAGAACATCCTGTAGGGCTGGAAGCCTCCAGACCTCAAGAAATTGATGGGATGTGGGATAGGCATCGCAAGTCAGTGCTCTTCTCCGTCTTGCTGCTGTTGCTCCTCCTGCTGCTGCTGCTGCTGCTGCTGCCACGAACTACCACCACGAATTACAGCCACTGAGAGCATGGCCAGGAGGCATTGCTGTCGGCAGCCGTAGCCGTGCCAAGCGGCCATTTAGCCCTGCAAGCCAGGCACTCTGTTGTGCGTTTTGGCGGCTGGTTATTATGATTTGACTTGTGGTGACTTTTGCTGTCCTTGTATGCAATTGCAATCACTAGTGTCGCCAGCTTCTTATTCATGCAGCTGGCATCCAGCGGCTAACTCTGCGTTATGCTATGAATAGTTTCGCCTCTGATGTCACATCACTCAATGCATCTACACTGTACTGCGTGACGTTCTGCAGTCGTAGAATTTCTTTGCATACAGACTGGTCCCAGGTAGGTGTCATGAGTAGTTAGCTGAAGTGGGCTGGAGGTGGGCAGTTACTGGGTACTTTAGTCGGAATATGTGCCTGCCAATATGATTAGTGTAGCATGTCAGTCTATATAAGAAACTTGTACTGCAGCAGACAACTGTAGGGTTGTAGTGTAGGAGACAGAGCATACATTTTCAGATTATCTGCATCCATACGCAGGCGCACTTGTAATTGTATCATGCATGTCATGTGGGAACGCAGGTACGGACTGACTGCACACTGTCATTAGACACTCTCACCTATTATTTGAACGCCACACGCCCACGCACTCTGCGACTCTTTGCCAAGAGTTGCTCTCTTTCTGGGGGGACACATAAAAGGCGAACCCCCTGCATGGGTCCGCACCCTCTCTTGAAGGTCTGCCGTCTGTCTCTCTCTCTCTCTCTCTCTCTTTCTCCCTTCTCTCGATACTGTACTTAGATAACTCGCAAAGTTGCTAACAAGCGACGACACAATAAATCCCAGCAACACAAAGCCTAAACCCGAAAGAATCTAGCGCTTGCATCCAGGCGATGGCGAAGTTGAGATCCCGGCGGCGCCACTCCCGCTGGCAAAGGCACAGCAGATGCTGTAGCCAGGCCAACAATCAAAAGGCCCCCTGGAGTGTGCTTTGGTTTGATTTGGGGGGAATGCTATGCCTCTTGCATCTCTTGCTCATGTGGTCCAGCAACCAGAGGTTGTTGCGAGCATGGGCGGCATTGTTAAGGGTGCAAAGAGTCTCGACAGCATTAGTCGCTTTGCGCTTGTTACGCATGTCCTGGGGAACAGTGATCATTCGGAACTTGAGCGATCCCAAGTTTGGCGCTTAACTGTAGGATGCTGCTGACTGTCGGGACTCCCAATCTGAACCGGATATAGATAGCTTTACAAGCCTTCACAAACATCACAGAGATGTCGGCTTCTTCGCCTCGTATATCCATCTCTGCGGCCGCGGACAAGGCCACTAGAGAAAGGGCGGTTCAGCTGGAGCCAGGACACCGAGAAAGCTTCTGGTAGTGGGGGCCGGTGCCACCTTCCCTCTAAGTTTAACGAATCTTGAAGGCTACCATCTGCCTAGGCAAGATTGCACCATGGACCATGGACGATATCTGCCCGCAGCATCGTTTCTGCCGTTTCAGCACGCGCACAAAGGAATTCAGACCTCCGAGAACAAATTGCAAGCGACTCCTCTACTTGAGCCAGATTTAATCTCACTGAGTCTCGCGGCGCCTGAAAACCCAGGCGACCTTGGTGTTGGCCCGTGGGTTTGGAAAAGAAGGGGTCGACAACGTGTAGAATGCTGGATTCTATTTCATGGAACAAAATGTAATTGTCTAGCCTCAAGCAATAACGCCTGCCCATCTCGAGCCGCTTACATGCCTCACCCAAGGCTCCCTCGGTCTTAGCTGCGGCTGAAGGGCTGGCATCAGTCCAATCAGTACGAACCAGGAAAGCGGTAATCCAAAGATCATGTGCACGGCCTTTCAGCAAAAGTCAGCTTAGAAAAGGGTTTGGCGTGCAATGTGCCGCCTTGTGGACAAGGAAGAGCAGCAAGGCCCAGTCGTTGAGAAATCCGAGTCTGTCTTCTGTGAAGATCTCTCTAGGGAAGAAACCTGAAGTCTTTGAATGCAGCGACGGGAGGTACTGCAGGCTGCATAAGACCTCTGGGCTAGGGACGGTCGGAGGCACACAGCCAAGCAAGGATGCAGATCGTCTCCATGATTTCGGCTTTGGATCTCGCGCGAGGAAAACTCGACAAAACGCATCGTCAGGAAGCAGCACCAAACGAGCTCAAGATGGCCTCAAGATGAGATCATGAGTGGGATGCACGTCGAGTCGTACATGAAGAGATGGCGGCCACGTTAGCGCAAAGGCAATAAGCCTTACAAGCGAGTTTGGGACGGTGCACGGATGCGAAGATCGGCAAACTTTAAAAGCAAACTTTAAAATCAAGAAACCAAATAACGCGTCACTTGGAACACTTGCTGCCGCGACGCACGAGAAACCAATACCGGCAAAAGTAGTCACCTTGCTGCCATGTATCTACTCCATGCCCATTGAACCCTGGTTTGAAGCTGCTCAAGGATGGCAGATGCTCAAGGAAGGCCAGGCACCCACGATTTTCCGATATCTGACTCCATAAGCGTACGAGACCATGCCTCGTCACAAAGCGAAGACAACTTGCAATTGACACGATGATGAATGCCAATTACCGACTGCAACAAATCTAACATGTGGTCCTGCAGTAGAAAGATGTCACATACTAAACACGCAAGTAGTAGTAGAAGCAGTGGCAGTGGCAGTGGCTGTGGGGCAGCGGCAGTAGCAGTAGTCGTCGTCATCGTCGTCGTCGTCGTAGTAGTAGTAGTAGCAGCAATAG